TTTAATGGAACAAAATGAAAGTACAATGGCCGTATTCATAGGGAAGTTTGCTACTTCTAGTTCCTTTTTCGTTCCATTTGATAAAGTCAACCCTTTCCATTTTCAATTTTTCTTATTTGATCATTAAATAAAAAATAAAAGGGGGAACAAATAAATAAATAAAATTCTTTCTTTTACTGCACGACTGCACTATCTTTTGATTTCCTGTGTCTTGTTTGCCTTTTGTTTTTGACTAAATTTGGTTTGGAAGTAATTTGCAGAAGCGACAAAAAGGGAATTGCTGCTTTGTTTTCAGGCCATATAGTCTTTTGTTAGGGTAACTATCATAAACAATGAAAACCTTAATCCATTTGTCTAACGTTGGCTTCTTTTGGTCTCTGCTTCAACATCACCCGCCACTACAAGATTATTTTAAAAGTTGATGTCGATGAAAACGTCGAAGTATCAATTTTTATAGAAATGTTGATAATTAAAATATCATATAAAAGTTGAAAATGTTGATAATGAAAATATCAGATAAAAGTTGATGTTGATAGAACCATCATTGGTTGGGCCTATTGATCCAAGGAGTTTGTCTTTGTGCATAGATTTGCTCTATCCAAGTAAAATAGCTTATCCCTTCTGCTAGGTAGCTAGTGTCCTGATCCAAGGAGTTTGTTTTTGTGCCTAGATTTGCCCTATCCAAGTAAAATAGCTTATCCCTTATGCTAGGTAGCTAGTGTCATGAAAAATAGAGGTTAGCACTCAGATGCTTAAGTTAGTATATTGTATATCTCAAAAGAGACACGAATATATCAGAGTGAATGGTTACCCTCTTCTTTTATAAGTGACAGGCGTTGAATTAGTTAGGTAAGAGGGTCGAGATTCTAGCATTCAATCTCGCAAGGGTTAGYGTGGCATGGGCATTTGTTTCCTTGACTGATCTGGTGCTGCCAAGTGTCACGGTCGTACATTTTTCAACCGTGCGGCGCCATGATCTAAGCTCGACCATGGCCAGCCTTACGAGGAACTCTAGCTCCAATCCACTTTT